AATCTATGAAAAAGATGATCGATCGAAAACTCGTTTCCGAACAACTCAAAAAACTTGAACTCAATCGTAATCTTCTTGTGCCCAATGCATAGTTATAGTCATGAGACGCCAAACTAATAGTATCGTATATTTTCGTATTTGATTCTTGTATCAAATTTATTATTCTTGATATTCAATGTTCAAAAGTGAAGCAAAGACGAACAAGTATTGACTGATCAAAGTCACATGTATTTAGTTATGTGTTCCTGTGATTTATTTGATAGTAGTCGTATGAGGCTATCGTAAAACATTTCGATGCTATGGAAAATATTGATGATCGATTGATTAAAGTTAGACCGTTCCAAAATGTTAACTTAATATTAAATAATGTAGAATTGAGCATTACTTATTTATCATCAGTTGTTGAACTTTTCGACAATAATTATCAACCATTTTATGTCGGTTTTAGTAAGCGAAGCAATACGAGTATTATCATGAGATGAAAATTTTAACATCAACATTCGATTGACTACTAATTTAGGATTAATATACTGAACGAAATAAAAATATTCAGATTTTTTATATTTCATTATCTAGGTTGGAAAAAAATTTCTTCGATCTTTTTTTAGCCTTTCTTATCGCTATGACCATGTTACTTCTAAACGGCTCAAGATCAAAAAGACTGTCTCGAGAGAGACCTACAAGGAGCACTAATGACCCTGTTTCTTCGATATCCAGACTTCAATCTTCGCTTTACGTTGCTTTGGTTTTTCTCCTTATTTTTCTCTTCTGTTTTTTGTCTGTGACAAATGGACAACAGCTACTAGAATTGACTACTAAAAACTTTTTGGAAATAAAATAAAACAAAAATTCCTCTCCATCACAAGCTGCTACGGAATCTGACGTTCCACGTCTTATCATCCAAAAAGAACTCTCATATCTTCTAAACATTATTGTAGTTGTTTTTCGTGTGTTATCAATAAATGTGAAATCTTCCTTGTTCCTGATTAAACATTTGCTGAAGAAAATATGCAGCACGTTTTTTCATAGTATTACCGACAAATGTTTGTATCAAGTCATTTCACTCAATAGATTATTAGTAAATATCTTTATTTTACTCATCAAACATGCGTAGAATGAGAAAGAAATAGACAATATTCAAACAAGAAAAAAGAAAGACATGTATTGGTAAGAAGAATGTTCTCCACACAATATACTCCAACATCTTAGTAGAATGTCCCATAGCACTCTTTGTTTTTGAAATGATAAGATCTGTCACTGGCAACATTTTATCTTCTCAATGGCTAAACAAATGAAAAAAAGAAAATTGAATTTTTATTTGTCAAACTTATTTCCATCAGTTGTTTATGTGGAGATTTGCATAGTACAAATGGAATTCGTGCACAGTGAATTGTACCAATTGCATAGCACTCATTAACAGGCTCAACAGAAGTACTCAATAAAAAAAAATAAGTGTCGATGTGTCTATCTGAACATAAGTGTGTTTACTTTAACTATGCATGTGTTGCTTTTTCAATAAAAACATATCTGATGTTGCAGAAGAAAGTGAAAAAGTGGAAAGATCTTTTTAAATATCATCTGTGTGAATATGCACGCCATCAGTTAAAGTCTATGACAAGGAGATGTTTTTTTTTGATAAAGAACCTAAAGAATATTTTTCAGAATATGTTACCAAAAAGCACTGAAGTAGCTTCATTATATGTTTTCAATAAAGAAACAGATTTTGCTATAGACTGTTTTTTCTGGTAAACTGTTTTCTAAGACTTTTCTTACTCGAAACTGACACATCGAGATGATGAAGAAAGCAATATATTGCTCATACTGAGCTTAGATATCACTATCGACATAGATACTAAAAATATTAACAAGCCATTATGGAGGGGAAAGAACTTCTAATGTGTCGAATGCTTAATTAATGTTAAATATACAATGTCTAAGTTAGCACATGGTCTATCATCGACTACAAAACGAATAGGTACAATGAAAAATTTCCTGGAAAAATTTCTATTTTATATCAGTTTATAAAATAGTACCACTTAAATTACTCTCTTATATAATGAGCTAGATAAATAGTCTTTATTTACGTATATGGCTTTGTCCACTAATCTTCCATTTTCATATATAAACTTGTCAGTGTAGTTTCTTTCATGAGCCAAAGTATGAAACTCACAAACTTTCAATGTTATAGACTTATGATTCATATTATTACAGATTGTAAAATAATTTATTAAAAAAAAAATGCTAAATAAATAAATAAATCAAAATGATAACAATTTTTATAGCTGGTATGAGCACTCAAGAAGTTCATTATTTCGAAAATGTCCTCATCTAAAATGACTTGACCATCAATTCAATTGATTTATTTGACGTCATTACACCATTAAAATATATGTTCAATAGATAGCTTCTTTTCTTCCTATGATAATATATAATCCATACTGCTGAAAGTGATAAATATAATTTTACTTTTCGTTTCATTGATTCAGTTATTATATTAGTCTGCTATACACATTAATATTATCGGTTAATAAGCTATCACGCACATCGCCCTTCCTCTTGATGAATTTACACATATACTATTGAGTTTTGGCAAAACTTAGAATTTATCTTGTTCACACTTTCCTACGTTCATCCTAGTTGGACTCAGTTAGAAAAAAAAACGACCATATAATTAACTGAAACTTACAAGAAGATCCTTTCACTGCTTTGAAAATCCAAACACACAATATTAATACTAGTTAGAATCTGCAGAACATCAGAATGATCTATGGACTAAGATTACTCACCGATCTCTTCTCGTTGCTATGGAATTGTATCTAATAATCCTTAGTTTCTCGCCATCTAGTTATTAAGGGCTAGAGGAGAAGGTAAGGTGCTACAAAAAGCTAAATTTAAACTTCTACTAACTATTATTTTTTTCGAAAATGTATGTGAGTTCCATGAAATAATCGAATCAAGGCATCCATCTTAAAACAGTCAAAATAGCCTAAGGTAAATCTTTATCTGAATGATTATTATTCAGATATTGTTTTTAGTGTGATGATTCAAGTTTGAAAACTGTTATTGAATTCTTTAATAAACTAAGGAGCATACGTAGCATCCTCGGTGAGCCACGGCTCATGCTCGTCTGTGTGTACACGCTGAAGTGGATGTCAGCAATGTCTTCAATCACATGTATGACCACTTTTAAAACTTATGTTTGTACTTTGACCATCATAGCACAAAAATTTTATTTTGAAGCATAATTATAATTCGGATAAAAGTTTACTATACGCCGTAACAAACTATTTTAAAGTATGTGTATATAAAAATTAGTTTAATAAGTTTTAAAAGAGCCTAGAAGAAGACTCAGGAGAAGTCTATAAGCAAAGAAAAATACACAATCACATGATTTTCCACTGTGTCAACAGAATATCATCGAAGAATCATTTTGAATTCATTAGATTCATTTTTGTACATAGAGGATAGGAAGAAATTATCCACTTTGTGCAGAATTTGACTGCCAAAGCATTGCTCCAGAACTATTAGTCCATATCAGATTTCCTGAATCGAGTATTTGGAAGCAGAATGGATTTCCGCTACCGTCATTTTGGGTAAAAGGTGTCCATACGTAACTACCGCCCACTTGATAAACAACTAGATTACGATCTGATTGTATCGCAAGAAAGCATGTGCCGGACGTTGAAGTCTGGCTTGCTGTCCAAATTGCTGTCGAAGTGACGTTCGCATAACCGTACGCTCTATAGATACCAAATTGATTGTTTAACATGCCAGCTGCATAGATATGGGAAGTAGGTGAATAGATAAACTCATTGTTATTGAGTATTCCACTGGAGACAGTCACACAAATAGATGATGGTGGAACTGGAATAAAAGAAAAAGAGAGTTGTAACATTCTTGTGCTCTGGAAATTTGCTTGATAGTCGCCGTTTTTTAAACGTTTTTTTTCTTGCATTATAATTCAGTGCAAAAGCAAGTTTGATGATTGACTTTTTATATTGACTTCTCGGTTTTTCTCTAGACTAGAAGTATCATTTGTAAAAACTCATGATTCTAACAACTTTGCAAGATAAATACAAGGAACAGTGTGAATGTGCACAACGGTTTAAAGTAATTGTTAAATTATTTACTATTCTTGAGTTGATTACCATGTGGCTATGTAATAGTGTTTGGTTTATTAATAGTTAAACTCGAACTTGGTGAATAATATGATATACATATTTATTGAATTACAAATAACGTTAATATAATTATACAAGTTTCTCATCGCTGTCTAAATTCATAATATTTGCTCATTCTTACAAAAAACATACAAAATTAATTTCATAGATACATAATTTTTACACAAAATGTCAATTCTTCCAATTGATTATTACAATTCTCTAATATTGAAATAAAGTTTATCGCTCTGACTCACTTAACTGTTGACTAAATCCACAATATCTTTCTTCTGGCAAGTGATTTTGAAATGGTTACTAGACGCATACGTGATTTTAATAATTTCTAACCTGGAAAGGCCGACTTTTTTTTTGCTATAAGTAAAAGATTCCAATGAATAGGAGCTAGTGCATGTTGTTGATTATTTCATCCTCTTTTTTCATCGAAATTCAACAATATTCAATAGTTTTCCGAGATTTAGTTCATTGTTCATACTGCTGCTAAACATCATTCACAAAGTATTTTGGTATCCTGATGACATTGAGGTCATGTTTAGGATGAAATATTATCTTCAATCTCTAACTCCAATGGATATTACTATTCTTATTGACAAGCATTTTGCGAATAAAATTAAGCATAGTTAATAGTAAATGGAACCAGCATTTCAACTTTAACAAAGTAAAATTCTTCCTTCACGTTAAAATATAGTAGAGCTCTCGAAAAATAACTACGATTTTACATTCGTTTTTAGCATCATCTTGAAAAATCTTTCAAGAATTACTTTTCTCGCATATTTTTACCTGTGGTAGTTGTTGTCGTGGTCGTAGTTGTGGTCGCGGTCGTTATTGTTGTCGTAGTTGTTGTCGTGGTCGTGGTTGTGGTCGCTGTCGTTGTCGTTGTTGTCGTGGTGGTTGTCGTCGTTGTCGTAGTTGTTGTTGTAGTCGTTGTCGTTGTCGTAGTTGTTGTCGTTGTTGTCGTTGTTGTCGTGGTCGTCGTTGTTGTCGTGGCCGTTGTCGTAGTTGTAGTCGTTGTTGTGGCTGTTGTCGTCACTGTAGTAATTGTAATTGATGTTTTTGTTAGAGATTTCATAGCAATATTTAGTGGAACTTATATATATTTTAGAAGAAAATTGTAAGTATAAATTTAAATGGAGGTTTTCGGAGCTTCACTTTCCTAGTTCATAACAGCTAGGATACAAGGTCATTCTCCTCCTTAGTTACAGCCCTTAGCAACTGAGATTCAAGACGCTGAACGACATTAATAGCAAAGCTTAGAAGATTCTAGATCATTCAGAAACTTTCTTCGAATAAAAATGGCTAGAATAGGTGTTTGAGTACTCTCAGTAACATATTTTTCGATTCTTGACTAGATAAATGATTATATGATATGCATCAAGGATGAAATTTTGATTTACTATAACTGTCATATCATCGACACAAAATCATGAACTGATTAAATTCTCATTTGGGTCGTGTACAAGATTTTTATTTGTCTAATGAATTGAAGGTTAGAATCTTAATAATTAGTTATGGAAGTGAAGTAAAAAACAAAAACAATAAATTCCGAGCAAATAGCAACCAAACAAATAAAAAAAAGCTCCGATCCAAAAAAAGAAAAGAAAACGAAATTTCTGCTCGAAATGCAAAAATAAAAAAAATAGAGCGCTGACTAGCAATCAATTATTGTTGGAAAAAATTGTTCTTTTAGATATTTTACACTTTCCATATTTTGTATTAATATAATAATGTGCAACACATTTCTACTTAGAAGCACTTGTAGTTGAGATTGAAGTGGTCGTTGGTCTTTTTGGTTCTATAACTAACGAATAGTGCGATGCCTCATTAAGTTCTTTCCCTGTGAGCTGCCTGGCAAAAAGAAAATTTAACATTTGAAATAGTCTTTCGGCAAATATCATCGTCAAATTTCTAATAAGTTCATTGGCTACTATCGTTTTGTTGATTGTACAAAACGACGCAACATTACGATTATTTTATTGTGAATGGAGTGACTGTCCATTGGTTCTCATGAAGAAACTTCAAATTTAATCGTGCCAAACAATGAATTAATCTGTATTCGGATTCTCTTACAATTTAGCTCTAAAAAAGAAATGTGAAGTTTTTCAAAATATTCAATAGAGAGCATTGAATCAAGATGTAATACGAGATTTGGTGCATTATATAATCGGTTCACCTAACAACAAACACATTTGAATAATTTTTATAATGTGAAACTGTAGGAAAATTTCCATAAAAATCATCTGGTACCTTTGTTTTTGATTACAAAACTTCGAGATCACTGTTTGATTCTATGAATGTTTTGAATCGTTGAAATAAAACTTGTGCATTGTTGATTGATGTCAGAGAGATAGATGAATTTTATTTTGTTCATACTTTATACGTCCGTCCTATTTTGACTCTGCTAGATCAAGAATAGTTAGAATCTACAAAGTTCTAAAATGATCTAAGCACTGTTATTATTTACGCGCCTTTTCTCGTGGCTAGAACCTAGAGAGGAGGGATGAGGAACTAAAGAAACCTCGATTTAAAGTTCCACTTACAACCATTTTGGGTCACACATTATTCGTCTATGTACATACCGCTTATTACAATGGTCGCCACAAGTGCCCCAAGCAAAATTGACCCCAAAATAGCACTCATCAGAATGTAACAACAGCGTCGCGTCATATGGAATTTTTCACGTCTTCTCAATTATAAATCAACTAAGTCAATTTTAGATATAGACGTCAAAGAAATGGCATACCTTTCATGTATCTTTCTCTTCTTCTTTGTATCATCTTTCTTTTTTCGAGCACTATCGTCAAAGTAGCAATTGCGTTGCGCGAAGTTGTCACTTGAACTACTTCGTATATGGTTTTCATCGTTTAGTGGTGCAACTTTATTTTTAATGGAAGTCGATGATGACAGATCTTGTCGTAATATCTGATATACCTTGAATCAAACAGCAAAATATATCAAAACAGAAAACAAAGGTCATAACGGATTGAAAGAAGTCATCGACATTCTGATTTTAGTTTTTCAAATACTCTACTAGAATTCACAATTAAATTGTTCAACAGAGAGTATCAGCAATTTTAGCATCTGTTGTGGGTTTCATTTACAATTCAAAAATGTCCTCTCGAAAGAATAGACAGTATGTGTGGCTGTAGGTGTGGATCTTCCCTTCATCCACACAAACACCGACAAACATTGTCACCTACATTCACATCTATCATCGATCGATGAGTCACATATAAGTATAAGTGACAAAGAAAAATAACGCGATGAAATAAGAGCAATCATTGAGCTTCTCATCTAACAGAGCATATATGTATGTATTTGGGCGATTTTTAGCTACAAAATATAGAACTATTTGGCAACGAAGCGAACTATAAAAAATCTCCTAGATTGAACGATATGTTCAGTAGAAAAAAACTAGATTTTCTCAGCGTTGTAATGGTGACTTGATCAATATCTTGATTAAGTGAAGATAGGTGAAGATAGAGTTTTTGCATAAAAAACGTCAATGAAAGTTTACTTTATATAAACTATTCAATATCTTGGTGTTCCCTGACAGCTACCGAGACTTCTTTCATTGGGAGTTTATTCGAAGTCTTCGGTGTGTCGTTGTGAATATGCTGAAATATCATCACACTTAATAAATCCTCCATAAATAAATCAATCCCAGTAACCTCTCGTATTTAATTGAGTTGCATATTAATCAGCCGCCTTTTGAAGTTTCTATATTTGCGTTGCTTTGTTCTGTAAAATTGTTAATTCTGAATTCAGTTGTTCCATTTGCTTATTGACGGATGAGAAAGATGCTTACATATCGCACAAAAAACAAATTTCCATTGCTTGTTGCCATCAATGAGAATCTAATGCAGTGCACTTATTTGAATTCTTTTTCTTTTCGTTAAAAAAAAAATCATCTAACAAATCACTATGTAGTGAAGTAGCTGATGATGAAATTAAGCTTCATTCATGTCCATTTGGATCTTTCTAATGAATGTCCTTATAAGGCCTATGAAACAGTACAAAATTTAACATCAAAGTTGGTTTGTTGAAATTTTACAAAATAAGATGTAAATTACCCTTCTGTTTACAAAGCTCAGAGTAATATTCAAAAATATCGATTTCAGATAATTTCTAGTCTGTAATCTATGCTATATAATAACATCAATTCTCAGTATTACTCGGTATCATGCGGAACTCCACGTACTATATCCAATGCATCTACATGTAACTGGATTTTAAAAAACTACAATTAGGGACTGCTCTTGACATGATATTAATAGAAAACTTTGTGACTCATTAATGCCTAGATAGTAGTCTTATCGAAGTCTATCCGTTGTTTATAAAACGTAACTGTTTTTGAATTTTATATATAGCGAGAAATGTGATTCGTCTTTCTCCCTAGAGGCAACTGTTCTCCCTACATATGTCCATACTTGAATTCTGTGTTTGATAAAAGCAGCATTATTGTGTTATAAATTTTAAGCACTCTGAAGATTGAGATGAGAGTTTTTAAAATAGTCTTCATTTTACTTATTAACTCAGATCACCATTTATTGTAAGTCAATTGAAATCTTTTACTTTGTCAAGCATGCAGATGTTTTCAAAAAATTCAGATACCTGACTTGTATTATTTTGATTGTTCGATTTTCGACTTTCTTTTTGTACATGTACTAATTTTTCCTTGAATGATGAATTACTTAATGATGCTAGTGTCATGTCTAATTGACTCATTCTGCGACTGAGTCTTTCAACATTAATCGACGGACTTATTGTCAGGTTCTGATCTTTCGATGATGAAATACTTATTTTTGGATGACTCATTGATGGATTGAACCGTTGCACTTGTACGGACGAGTTGTTTCTTATTTTGGCGTGCGAAGATAGTCTTTTTCTCTATTAAAATACAGATTTGTTATTAAATAGTTTGGTAGATTTTAATCGATATTTACCCGAATCCGATGTCTGTCAATAAGAGTTATCATTGACTTATGTTGCTTTGATGCCATGGTACAAAAGGTTTTAGCTTTGCCCGTCCTTCACGACGAAAAAACTTCAATTGAGTTGATGTCGGATAAAATGAGATTCCAAAATGCAAAAATGAAAGAAGTATGAAAAAAAACAAGAGAAGCCTTGTTTTTAATAACCTGTTCGAAGAAGGAAAAAAGATCATCGATCAAATCGAAATACGTTACAATTTCACGATATAATAGAAACGAGAAAATGAAGAGTTTCGATCACTATTCAAAAATACAAATCAGAAATGAACTCAAGTTTGAATGTATGAGTATGAATGCATAAAAAGGAAATTTTCGCCAACAGACGCAGACAGACCCACATTCACATGAGAAAAAAATAATTAGTATCAGGATATTTGCAATACTGGTAAAAAAATGTAGTTTAATATAAAAGAAAGATTAGTAAATATCATGTAGATTTAAGCATGTGACTTCGACAGTGGCTGCCATTCTGATGAAGAAATAAAAATATTGAAGATGAACAAGAGAAGTTAGTTTTATTATTAATAATAAACAGACAAAAGCAGTCGAAATATTTGCTTAAGTATTCAAACATGCGTAGTCTAAACAGTAATTAGATTCAAGGCGATGTTTATGTGATGTTTTGTTGGTGGATGGAAGACTCACATTGACTCCCATCGATTGCTAGACAAAGAACAAAGTTTACTCTTATTTTTTTGATTAAGGAACTTATTTGTTTACTTATTTTCAATGGATTAAGTCGATTACATTTTGCGTACAACAGTCCTCAAAGGATATTCTTTTACTATA